ATTCGGCGCCCGCCGGCAGGCCCCGCCCCACGCGGTGCCGTTCGCAAACCCCTCCGTGCGGGAAACCCCTCGGCTTTGCGCTCTCTGGCGGCTCTGAGGCGCACAGCAGCCTAACGGCGGGGGCGGAGACCGGAGCCCGGCGGAGGGCGATAGATCCGGCATGTCTTCCGTGTGCTTTTGGGCTGAAGGATCCCTGAAGGCGTCAGAGTCACAATTATTCCTTGACTCATCCCTTCATTTCATTCATTTATTTATTCTTTCATTCACTTGTTCAGACACTGAGAGCTCTTCTAGAGCTGGGGTTATGGCGCGGAACAAAACAAAGTCACTTGCCCTCTTGGAGCTCACATTCAAGGTGGGAGGGGGGTGGACCTTGGACAACCTGCCACTCCCCTGCGCACAGCCCTTCCATGGCCCCGCATCTCAGTCAGCGTGATAGTCTCATGGCCTGGAAGTCCTGGTCCACCGCCTCACCCGTGTTCCCACTAGCTTCTCTGCGCAAGGGCCTGTCTTTCTTGCTGTTCCCAGAATGTGCCGCGCTCGCCTTTGTCCCAGGGCCTTTGCTGCTCCCTTTGCCTGGACACCATTTCCTCCCCAACGCCTCTGCTCCGATGGCACCTTCTCAGACGCCATCCTGTCGTGAAGGTCCTCAGCTTTTCTGTCCTCGTGCCTTCTGCCTCCCTGTCTGGGAGGCTCTTCCCCTCCTCCCCTGTCCTCAGCTCCTGCTCGTTTTTCAGGTCTCAGTTCAGGTGTCCCCTTCTCCCGGAGGCCTTGAGAAATCCCCCAGGCTCTGTTAAAACCCCTCTTAATAAAGTTATAAACAACACAAAGTCCATCTTTTCCCCGTTGACACCGTACTTGCTTTTCTGGAAATTTTGGTGTATATTAAAAACGCGTGGCTCAGTGTCAGGGGCGAAGTCAGTAGCATACGGAACTGCAGTGCCGGAAGCCGGGTCCAACCCAAGTGGCCATAAATCTCACTGATTTCCACAGCCCTCAAGATCCTTACTAGTTGGGCTGGGGAGGGAGGCTGTTGCAGGACCAGACTTTTTCTTTTCCATCTCTTTTCACGAACACATCTTCCCTCTCTTATAAACTTTAAAAAGTATAGGAACCAGCAGATAGCGTAATGGCTATGTTGCTGGACTCCCATGTAATTGACCGTGGTTCCCGTCCCAGACCCGGCGACTTAAAACTCACGCTGGGCGCGTGTGCGTGTGTACCCAAGATCCCGAGAGTAGAAGGGAGGAGAAGGGATTGCAGCGTGGCCATCCCCCCTGGGGGGTGATTTCTCACTTTCTGTCTCTCTGTCTCTCTCTGTCTGGCGAGTGCATGCGCCCTATAGCAAAAACCTCTAAAAAAAAAAAAAAGTACAAAAATACTTAGTTTGTATGACAAACGAGTTAGGGCCTAGGTTCAGGTGATGAAAAGCTTTTCAGCTGCATTAGGTCCTGGCAGAAAGTGTGGCCAAGAGTGTCTGCCCTTGGTGGTGTGAGACTCTTCTCCACTGCAAGGCCACCCAGTACCAGGTCTGGTCCTCAGTCCCTGCCCCTTCATCTCTATGTCAACCTAAACTATGACAACCCCCCCCACACACACACACACACCACCCACACACACACTTTCCAGAAAATCTGGGAGGCTAGGGGACCTCTCTGGACCTTGCTTGAGCTTGGCTGCTTTCAAGGTTTTTCTACCCAAGAAAGTGACAAGAATTTAACCAGCTTAAAGATCTGTGGGTGGGTGCCAGTCGGTGGTGTAGTGGTTAAGGCAGCTGGATCTTATATGACTCGCTGGCGGTTAGAGTCCTGGGCCCTGAGACCTGAAAGATGTGATGGGACAAGCAGGTGGTGTGGTGGTTAAGGCACTGGACTCCCACACGGCCCACTGTGGTTGGAGTCTGCAGGAGGATCCAGTTCTTGCTTCTCCCAGCTTCTGGTGGCCCTGGTGTTCCTTGACTGGTGGCCACATCACTTAGTCTCTGCCTTTGCAGTCACATTGCCTTCTCTTCTTTTGTTTCAAATCTCTCTCTCTTTTAAAGTTTACTTATTTATTTCATGAAAGAGAGAGAGAGGAGAGAGAGGGGGAGACAGGGAGACAGTTAGCCTTAACAGGGTCTTCATGTTGAAATCCACCTCCAGTTGCAGCCAACCTGAACCATGTGTGCTCAGGGATGTCCCAGGACATGAACCCAGGATCTTTCCCATGTGGGCCCCATTGTGTTATCGCTGCACCACTGCTTGTCCACCACATATAAGGACAGTTGTGACTGCATTTGCCATGTGTGTATGTAGATAATTCAAGATTATTGCCCCATCTAAAGAAACTTAATTTAATCACATTTGGAAAGTCTTTACAAATACACAATATTCACAGGTTCCAGGGGTTAGGGTAGGGACATCTTGGGGGAGGAGAGAGGGAGATCACTCTTCAGCCTACTTACCCCCTTTCTGATAACTAGTAATTCAATGATTCATTCAATTCTCAGACTAAAGTCCTCTGTAGCTTACTTAAAGCTCTTTTTCTGTTTGTCTTAATGAAAAATATCCAGACTAATCCAATCTTTGCATAGTAGGTGCTAATAAATATTTGCACAGAAAGAGAAGGAATCCTCATACATGTGTGTACACAGTGCATGCCAGCCTTCATAATTGTGAAACCAAATCAATTTTTTTTTTTGTGTGTGGTATAGGGCTTGTGTGTTTACCAGAAAGACAGAGACAGAGAGATGGAAAGTGAGAAATCACCTCCCGGGGGGGATGACCACACCACAATCCCTTCTCCTCCATTCTCCTTGGGATCTTGGGCACGCACGAACACATGCCCAGCGTGAATATAAGCCATCGGGTCCGGGACTTGAACTGCGATCAAGTACGTGGGAGTCCAGCGACATAGCCATTACGCCAACTGCTGGTCCCGAAACGGAATAAATTCTTATCCAGAGTTGGTCGGGCCACATTGTTATCCTGGGTGTTCACTGAGGTAAAGTGACTGTGATTGGTTTAAGGACTCACAGTGAGGGAGTGGAAGCTTCAGGGTTAGAAGCTGTGTCTGACTGGGGACCAGCAGATGGCATAATGGTTACATTGCTGGACTCCCAGGTAGTTAGCTGAGGTTCGAGTCCTGAACCTGGACACTTAAAACTCACACTGGACACATGTGCGTATGTACCCAAAACCCCGAGAGGAGGAGGGATTGTGGTGTGGTCACCCCCTGGGGGGGGGATTTCTTGCTTTCTCTGTCTCTGTCTCTCTGGCGAGTACCAGTGTCCTATAGTAAAAATCTCTCTTTAAAAAAATTAAGAAGGTGTGTCTGACTCTGGGTAAAAATCTCTCTTTAAAAAAGTTAAGAAGGTGTGTCTTACTCTGGGGCATGCACACTTTTCCCCACGTTGGGGCTTCAGTCTTGACACTGCTGACACTTCGGACCAGATCCTTCTTTGTCACATGTGTATGTGAGGCTGTGTGGTGGGATGCCTGTGTTAGAGAATGTTTGGCAGCACTGTGGGCCTCTACCCACTAGATGGCGGTAGCGCTCTCCGAGTTATGACAACCAACCGGGTCTCTGGACATGGCTAAACGTCTCATGGGGAAAAAATGACACTTCTTCAGAACTACTGCCCTGTATTCTGCTGACCTAGTGGAGGTGATAGTGGGGAGAGGTACCAGTTCCACTGGGAATTAAACTCAGGTGTTCCACAGAGCAAGGAAGCACCTGCCTTTATACCACGGTGGTGGAGATTACTGGATGTCCCCTGAGAGCTACTCCTGGTTCTCTTGAGAAAAATTTTAGCTGGGCACATTGCTGCCAGAATAAAGACTACATTTCCCAGCCATCCTTGCACCTAGGTGTGATCATGTGACCACATTCCAGCCAATGAGAGGGAAGTGAAGGGGCAAACTTCAGACCATGCTCCCTTTCCCTGCCTTCTCCAGTCTGGCTGCCTGGAGTGTGGACCTGAGAGCACCAGGATCAAGGGATTCTTTTGTTTTTTTGAGAGGTTTTTGCTATAGGGCACGTGTGCTCGCCAGAAAGATAGAGAAAGACAGAGAGACAGAAAGCGAGAAGTCACCCCCCAGGGGGGATGGCCATGCCGCAATCCCTTCTCCTCCATTCTCCTCTCGGGATCTTGGGCACGCATGCACACGCGTCTGGCGTGAGTTTAAGCCACCGGGTCTGGGACTCGAACCATGGTCGACTACGTGGGAGTCCAGCGACATAGCCATTACGCCAATTGCTGATCCCCAAGATCAAAGAGTTCTAAGTCTCAGTATCAAGGAGCACCTGTGTCACCTGGCCTGCCTATGGCCGGATAGCACTAGAGAAGTCAATTTCCCCTGATTTAAGCAACTATTATTCAAGAGCTTTAGTTTGCTACTCTTGCTTTCTATCACCCCCGTCCCCCAAACCAGACATGGGTGTGGGAGAGAGGAAAGAAGGGAGGATGGGGGAGAGAGGTGTCCATGGAGTAGCACAGGCGGTCTGGCTGGGTGAGCTCAGAAGTGCTCAGGGACACCTTCTAGGTAGAATCTTAAAGGTGGAGAAAGAGTCGGGGCACCCCAGACTCTGCCCCATGCTAGGACAGCTCTGCCAGGCCTAGGGTCTTGAAGTCTTCTTGCCTAGAGCTCCTAAAGCGCACTGTCAGGGCCAGTATGAGTGCTGCCAAGGTCACGGCCTTCAGCCCCAGGACCACAGGTGTGAGCAGAGATAGGAGGCCTGCAGGACAGAGGAGGGAGTGCAGGTTAGACCCAGGGAGTGCCCCCATCAGGGAGGTCAAGTCCAGCTGTTGTGCAACCTCTGAAGCCACATGGGAGAGGAGATCTAAGACCCCCACTCCCTCTGTGCTGGGCCCATGGAAGCCTTGCTCAACATCCTGCCTGGACCCGTAACCATGTCAACCACATCCCTAACCTCTGATAATAATAGAAAACTTCTTTCACTTATTAACTGTTCAGTTCCTCTGCCTCAGACCCTGAGCCAAGCACATCCTAAATGCGTAATATAATCTTCAGACCAGTCCTTGCATGAAGGGTAATGACCCAATTGTTATAGGTGAGGAGACAGGCCCAGGGTGGGGAAGTGATATACCTAGGGCCATTGTGTCAGGTGAGGGGACCCAGGTGATCTGACTCCCAGAATGACAGCACCAGAGAGGCTGACTGAGACACTTCTCCTTTTTTTAAGAGAAATTTTTGCTATAGGGTATGCGTGCTCACTGGTTAGACAGAGAGATAGAGACACAGAAAGAGAGATATCACCCCCCAGGGGGATGGCCATGTCACAATCCTGTCTCCTCCATTTTCCTCTTGGGATTTTGGACATGCATACACACACGCCTGGCATGAGTCTCAAGCCACCGTGTCCAGGACTCGAACCATGGTCAGCATGTGAGAATTTGGCAACATAACTATTACACCATCTGCTGGTCCCAGGACACTTCTATCTTAAGCTCCCCAAGTCACCCAGTGTCCCCAAGGGTTAAGCTCTGTAACATAAACTCTTTGACCCTTGTCCCCCTCCTCTTTTATTCACAGAGCTGAACGTCAGATGCCCACGGTCATGCGGTTAGGAGGGGCGCCATCCTGGAGGCCTGGCTACAAAGCCATGCTCTTCAGTATTGCTGTGCCTGGCCTCACAGTGTACCCCTACACTCTGACTCGGGGAGCTCGTTACCACTCAAGCGAGATCACCCAAGGAGCAGCGTACTGAGCAGTCAGACAGCCTGGCTGTCACAACGTCCTTTCATTAACTGAGCTGTTCTGATATGGCTCTCTGACTTCCTGGTTCTGTGGTCGAGATGGAATCCTAGGAACATTTTTGGTTGCACATGAGCTGTGGAAGTCTGAGGTCGCTCCTTACCCACAGCCAAGCCATCCGTGGCCCCCCCTTGCCTGTGGGCACTCATTAACTCCATGGCAGGTAGGGACACTTACCTGTCTGAAATGTCACAGCTGCATGTTCACTGTCCAGTTCTGCTTCTTGGAGAGAGGTGGATTTTGCTGCAAGGGAGAGAGGCTTTCTCACACTTCCTCTTTTCTTTCTCTCCTGAGCCCTTATGCTAGGAGCTGGGGTCACTGAGATGAATCTGCCAGTTTCTCCCTGGGTGGGGCTGGAAGTGATACCCTGCAACTATGAAGGACCCGTTAGACGTCCTGCTTGAGCATCTCTGATGTTTGGACAATGTCTGATCCATTGCAGTACCTCTAGCACTTAGTACAAATTTATGTTTGTTGAATTATTAATGGTCTATACAAATGTCTGTGGAGCACAGAATGAGGAGAAATGAACTATGTCCAGGAGGAGAAGAAAGTTTCAAGGAGAAGGGGCTATTGGCGGTGGGCCTTGAAGGATGAATAGGAGTTCTTCAGAGAAAAGGAGAAAGCATTCCAAGTTGAGAGACAAGCTTATGTAAAGGTATGAAAGCTGACAAGAGCTGGTTTGTTTGAAACATGGTGGTCCAACTACCCCTCTCCCCTGACACCTACGAGACCACCTGTCTCACCTTTAACTCTCAGCCTGGTGCCCTGTCCAGATAGGAACTGCTTATTGTATTTCCTCTGAAACTTCACACAGTAGTAGGTGCCTGCATCCTCAGTGGAGACGCCTTGTAGGAGAATGCTGAAGTCGTCGCTGGAGGCCCGAACTGCTGTCACATTAGGGTGGGAGATGCCTTCGAAGTTGTAAATGGCCTCCCGGTTCAGACCAGTCCCTCGGAACCATCTGATGGGGCCGGGGGGACCATCCCCGAGCACTGTACAGTTCAGGGAGATGGTGTCTCCAGTGGTGACCCACACTAGCTCCTGCGGCTGGATGATCTGGAGGTATGGCCCGAGGTCCCGAGATCCTGAAGCCAAAGACAGCGTCATTGTGGGCTTCCCTCCTTACTCCATTGTCCACTCGTTCCTCCCTCATACCTTCCTCCCTTCCTTCTTCCCTGGGTTTTTCCCTCGACCACTGTCTCAGCATTCTCTCATTCCTCACTAGTTGAGTCATTCAAAAAAGAAGTTCTGAGTGCCCACTGTGTTGCAGTGCCAGGATGAGGAAAACAGCAACGTACACCAATGCCTTGTCTGAAGCCATTCTCCGAGTGGTGGTGGAGACAGTCAAGAAAATCGCCCTGAAGCTGGAAACCCAGAGGACTGCGGGGGGCCACGGGGAAGGAGTCCTTCCTTCAGGGTTTGGAAGAGCCAGGGGAAGTTTCCTGAAATGCTGGGATCATGTGAAAACAAACCCTGAGTGCCCTTGCTCTGGCTCAGATGTCCTTCCCAAATTCACGAGTTGGGAATTGGTGGCACCGTGAAGGTGTTAAGTGAGAACTTAATCCTTTCACGATGTTCCAGGGTAGAGCCTTGGGTGTGATAAGGTCCTTAGGGCAGGGCCCCTGTGATTGCATTCTGGAGGGTTTATAGCGGGAGGAGCAGGGAACATGTGGACAGCAGCTCTGTTCTGCTCCCAGCCTGGCCATGCTCTGAAACTTTGAGAGGCTTCCAGAGGTGGCCTCTAGCCCTGAGCCTCTATATCGTAAACTGAACAAACCTGTTTCTTTCTAAATCACCCAGTCTTGAGTATTTTTGTTCAGCAACATAAAAATGAACTAATGCACCTCCTCCCCTGGAGATACACTGTGCCAACCGTGTATGGGTGGTTTCACAAGCACCCATTCTTCTAGTTAATCACCCGAATGCCACTTGAAATATGAACATTGTCGCCTGTCTTACAAGTTAAGCACTTGACATACAATATATTAATCATAAGCAACTGATTTATGAACGTGCTGATCTTTTTTTTTTTTTTTTTGGGGGGGGGGTTTCGCTATAGGGCGCGTGCGCTCGCCAGGCAGACAGAGAGAGACATAGAGACAGAAAGCGAGAAATCACCCCCCAGGGGGGATGGTCACGCCGCAATCCCTTCTCCTCCATTCTCCTCTTGGGATCTTGGGCACGCATGCACACGCGCCTGGTGTGCGTTTTAAGCCACCGGGTCTGGGACACGAACCGAGGTCAACTACGTGGGAGTCCAGCGACATAGCCATTATGCTAACTGCTGGTTCCCTGAACGTGCTGATCTTGAACAACAAATCAGGATTTGGGAATTCGGGTCACCATTGGTGGGCTTAGCGACGCCATGACGGGTTACTTGGGGACTGTATTAGATTACATGATCAGCCCCAGGTCTTGACTCCCCTGCCATCATGGGTTATGTCTGCCCTTCTGCCGTGTGTGGCCTCGTGATGGAAGACTGCACTTTCTTGTCTCGTGCGTGACTTGGAGCTGAGCCTCGTGATTGGCTTTAGCCAATGGGCTATTAACAAACATAATGAGCTAGGACTTAGACTCCACTTATAATAGATAGGGTAAGTGCCCTAAGAGGAAGTCTCTGTGTTTTTCTTTTTAATGAATTCTCTGTGTTTTTCCTCTATAGCCTGATTAGCGTACAATATATACCCCTTTGACATGTCTCTAGAGAATGTCTGACTTGGGGACCAGCAGTTAGCATAATGGCTAGCTATGTCGCTAGACTCCCATGTAGTCGACCGCAGTTTGTGTCCTGGACTCGGCGGCTTAAAACTCACGCCGGGCGCATGTGCGTGCGTGCCCAAGATCCTGAGGGGAGAATGGAGAAGGGATTGCAGCGTGGCTATCTCCCCTGGGGGGTGATTTCTTGCTTTCTGTCTCTCTGTCTCTCTCTGTCTGTCTGGTGAGCACACACGCACTATAGCAAAAAACCTCTCCAAAAAAAAAAGAATGCCTGACTCCTTGCTAATAAGGTGGGAGATAGGGATCTTGAGTGCACAGACAAGATAAGGCCAAGATGGAGTCACAGTGGGTAAGTTTTCAGAGCCAGAGGCTGGCTGCATTGAGACTCACAGCAACTGTGGCTAAGGGCAACGGTTTCTATTCAGTAAGTGCATTCTAACCAGAAGGACAGGACACTATGGTCTGCTGACTCCACAAAGAATAGGCGAATACATCACGCAGACTACCATGCAACCATTTTCTAAAGCCTACTTCCTTATCAGAGAGTCAACCCGTTGCTTGACTGCCAGATTAAACACCCCTCACCTCCAGCCTCTCTTTGGCAACTCATTCGGGCCCCCTTCCACTATGTTGGAAACTTTTTCTCCTTCTCTCATAAATTTTACTTTCCTCCGCTGTATCTGGGTCTCTAATACTTCACGAACGTAGGGCGAGAACGACGTGGGTGTTGGATCTGATCACCCAGCGCTCCTGCATCAGTGATATGAATAGAGACTTGTGCTTGGGGACTTGGTCCTCTTTCTTCCTGCTATCTCCATGAGAAAAATGTGTCTCAAGTAGCTGCTTCCTCTCCAGCCTGGGCCCTGGAGTGAGCCAGGAAGAGCAGAACCGCCCTGGCCACCTTTAAGCGCGTGTGTGAGATATACCTACTGACTTCTGTGTGCCTCTGAGATTTTGTGTGCTACAGAGTGATTGCGCAGAGAGGCGACTGAGGCCGAGAGACACAACAGGGTGAATGTGTGACCTGCTGGCTTGATACTCACCCTTCACAAGCACCGATGTGCCCTCGTTCAGTTCCAAGTCATCAAACCTCACACAGTGGTAGGTTCCAGCATGTTCCCCGGTGACATTGTGGATATAGATGGAATAATCGCAATGAAGTGGCTCTGATAGCTGCTGGGTCATGGGCGTCACCCCAGGGAAGAAGCCATGTTTGAAGTTATAAATTTCTTGCTGATCCTGAGTGCTCACCTTGACCCATTTGATCATATTGTCCATGCAGGAGCCAACCACGGCACACCTCAGGAGCAAGGTCTCCCCTTCTGCCACCAGGATGGGGCCTTCGGGCTGCAGCACCTGGCACTCGCTCATGTTGCTCTGCTCTGACGCTCCTGCAGCACAGGAAGAAAAGGCTTGAGCTGGAGAGAAAGTTCTTGGGGTCCTAAAGGGCAAGCTTGGAATAATCTAATCATCATCTAATCAAGATGAATAGCTTAGGACAACAGAGGGAAGTTGCTGGAGAAAGGAGGGAAGCAGAGGTTGAGGTGGCTGCAGAGAGAAAACAGAGTTATTCAATCAAAAATCTATAAATAATAATAACCTGTACTTGTCGCGGGCTGGGTTCTGCAAGCATTAACTCATTTATTTCTCAACACTGCTGAGAGGTAGGCAGCATTATCCACAATTTATGACAGAGGACACTGAAGGCCAAGAAAAAGCTAGGTAACTTTTTCAGTGTCATCTGCTACAGACTGAACTGCGGTCTTTTGAAATACCTATGTTGAAGTCCTAACACCCCTGATCTCAAAATGCAGCTGTATTTGGAGATAGTCTTTCAAGAGGTAATTAAGTTAAAAAGAGATTATTAGTATACATTATTTTGTTAAAGAATTATTTATTGATTTATTATTATTATTTTTAATTTGCAACAGGGGACACGTGCTCACCAGAGGCAAGTCAGAAAGAGACAGAAAGAGAGAGAGGGAAAGTGAGAAACCAATTGCCAGGTCTAGGACTTGAACCTCAGTTGGCCATGTGAGGATGTGGGGGTCCAGCGCCTTAACTACCATGCCACCTGCTGGTTTAGCGCAGCTCTTAATCCAATCTGACTAGTGTTTTTTTGTTTGTTTTTGTTTGTTTGTTTGTTTTATTAGAGTACATGCACTTGCCAGAAAAACAGAGAGAGACAGAAAGCAAGAAATCATCCCCTAGGGGGCTGGCCATGCCGCAATCCCTTCTCCTCTGTTCTCCTCACAGGATCTTGGACACACACACACATGCCTGGCATGAGTTTAAGCCACTGAGTCCAGCACTCAAACCACAGTCAACAACATGGGAGTCCAGCGACATAGCCAGTACACCAACTGCTGGTCCCTTGACTAGTGTTCTTAAAAGAAAAGGAACTTGGGAAACAGACACATAGGGAAGGAAGATCACATGATGGTATGGGGGAAGGTGGTCACCTACAAGCCAGGGAGAGAGGCCCCAGAAGAACGAATCCTGCTGACACCTTGATCTTAAATTTTCCAGCCTCCAGAACTATAAGGACGTACAATCCTGTTTAATTTCCTGGGTCTGTGGTACTTCACTATGACAACTCTAGTAAACGAACACATCGTCCAATAAGAATGTGACAGATGTCTCAATTCAAATCCTGGCAGCCTGATTTTAAAGCCCCTGTGCTCAATCCTTACATGCCATGCATGAGAGATGTAGGTTTATGTGGTATGGTTTTTAGCACAAATACCTTCCCGGCCACCAGTGAATTTTCAGAAAACTTCAGTTCTTGTTGATACATTATGGAGTGGGTCAATTTGGGGTAGGTTGCATTGTTGGGTTTGGCCTCAATGAGTACAAAGAGGGCTGAGATCTCCCCTGGGAATTATTCCGCACCTGGGTTATAGGCATCATCAAGTTTACTCCTCTTCTAAAACACTGTGAGGTAGACACTATTATTACCTCCACTTTTTAAGATGAGTAAAAACAAACAACAGGTCAAATAAGTAAATAAGTAAGTAAATAAATAAGATAAACAGACAAAAAACAACCCATGATCTGAGAAGTGAAGAATCATGAGGTGAGCCATGCATTCAGTAGGTGTCATGGTCAGGATTTGAACTTAGATCAGGTGACTAAAGGTTCTGCTCAATTTAAGGTTATTAAGGTAAATTGTGCAAAAACATTTATAGAATACAATACACTCCAATAAAAATGTCTGAACATTTTTTTTTTTTTGGAGAGGTTTTTGCTATAGGGCGCGTGTGCTTGCCAGACAGACAGAGAGAGACATAGAGACAGAAAGCGAGAAATCACCCCCCATGGAGGATGGTCACGCCGCAATTCCTTCTCCTCCATTCTCCTCTCGGGATCTTGGGTACGCACGCACGCACATGCGCCCGGCGTGAGTTCTAAGCCACCGAGTCCGGGACGCAAACCGGGGTCGACTACGTGGGAGTCCAGCGACATAGCCATTACACTAACTGCTGGTTCCCTCTTAACATTTTTTAAAGGATTATTTATTCAATTTTATTTATTCACTTATTTTAATTTGACCAGAGAGAGACACAAAGAGAGAGAGAGAGAGAGAGTGAAAGTAAGAAACCAAGCCACCAGGTCCAGGATTTGAACTATGGTTAGCCATATGGAAGTGTCCAACACCTTAGCCACCATGCCATCTGCTGGTCCCTTAACTTTTTTTATAATTATTTTATTTAACTTTATTTATTATTTTCCAACTTGATCAGAGAAAGAGAGAGAGAGAAGGAAAGTGAGAAAGCAAGCCACCAGGTACAGGACCTGAACCATGGTTGGCCATGTGGGAGTCCAGTGCCTCCAACCACCACATCATCTGCTGCCCCCCAAAATGTCTTAACTTTAAAAGAATTCTAGGAATGAATTTTGCCATAGGGCATGTGTGCTCACCAGGGGAGGTAGGGGAGAGAGAAAGAAGGGAATTGAAGAATCATGGCCCATGGGGATGGCCATGCTGCAATCTCTTTTCCTCCATTCTCATCCCAGGATTTTGAGCATGCACACACAATCATTGGCATGATTTTCCAAGCTGCTGGGTCGGGGATTCAAACTCTGTTGGCCATATGGGAATCCAGCACCTTAACCACCATGTCACCTGCTGGCCCTGAAAAGTATATTCTTTGACTACAATGAAATTAAATTAGAATATACAACAGAAAGATGTCTAGAAAAATCTTATATCGGGGAACTAAATAACACACTTCTCAATAACACATGAATCAAAAAAAATAAGTGCAAAGTTAGAAAATACTGTGAACAGAATGGAAATGAAAATACAACAAAATTTGTGAATACTCCTAAAACAAGACGGAAATGAATCGTAGCAAAATGTTCATATTAGGAAAGAAAGAACTTAAGTAAATGAGCAGTTTCCACCTTAAGACACAAGGTAGTTCTATTTTTAATTTTTTTGAGGACTCACTGTACCATTTTTCATAATGGCTATATTGATTTTCATTCCCACGAATAGTGCACAAGAACTCTCCTTCTCTACAACCACACCAGCACTTGCTATTCTTTGTTTCTTTTAAAATAATTTTTATTTAAAAAAAATTTTTAAAGAATTATTTATTATTATTATTTTAAACTTGACTAGAGAGAGACAGAGAGGCAGAGAGAGAGAGAGAAGAAAAGTGAGAAAGAAAGCCACCAGGTCCGGGACTCAAACCGCAGTTGGCCATGTAGAATTTCAGCACCTTAACCACTATGCCACTTGCAGGCCCCAGTGATTTTTATTTTTTTAATATCTCATTTAATCACATATATCTTTACATTTTTTTTTAATGATAGTATTCTAATGGGGGTGAAGTGATACCTTATTGTGGTTTCAATCAGTGCACTATGTAGTAAAAGGAAATAAAAGGAACCCACAATGGAAAGAAGGAATAAAACTCCCTTAATACACTGGGCACATGCATGTCCATGTTCTGGGGCTGGCTGAGGCTGGGGTGGATCACACTGTGAGGACTCCATTGGGGGTGCTGTCTCTGTCTCTTTCTTTTACTCATGGAAGAAATAAATAAATAAATGAAAAAAAAGAACCAACAAGATGAAAAGAAGCACAACTGTATGATCCTTGACATATGCAATTCTAGAAAACACAAAACTCTACAGCCATGCAAAGCAGGTAAGTGGTTGTCAAGGAGGAATGGAAGGGACGAACCACAAGAAAACTTCTGGGTGTTAGCTACATTCATTATTTTGACTTTTGGTGATGACTTCACAAATGGGAAACATTTGAACACTCACCAAACTTATAAACCTCTGTACATATGTACACTTTATTACATGCCAGTTGTGCATCAATAAAACTGCTTTAACAAGTTAAAAAATTATGAAAACGTTGTGTGTAGGGTGAGAAAGGGACAATTAATACAGAAAAGGCAGCGGGAATAAGTGAGGACCCCAGAGGTCTTATCCCAGCCGGTGGTGAATTTGAGGAAGTGAACCATATGTAAGGGAAGAAGCTGGAGCCTGGGCCAGGCCTCATGCCCCATCTCTCTTCCCCTTTCTTCCTTCCTTGAATCTCCTTCCATGAGAACACAGGGGCTTTTGGAGGTGTCTGGGAGCTTTTCCTCTGCTATCCTGTGGAGCTGGGCCAGTCCTTTGCCCATAGCTCTGGTTTCCTCTTGTCTGTGTTCCATCTGCACCCTCTGCCTTTCATGGTTCCTGACAAGGCACTCCCTTTGGAAGTCCAGTAGAAGCATCAATATTTCTCAGAAAATAGTTGGAATAATTTGGACTCAGGTAGTTTAGATGTATGATTTCCACACAGTGGACATGTAAGTCTCTGGGGAATGAGTGACTAGGAATTATGATTTATATTTTACAATGGAGGAAGCCAGCTTGGAGAAGTGAAAGAGTACCATGAGTCATTTGGCCAGTGAGAGAGCTCCAGCCTGGGCCCTACCAGGACCTCTCCTAGGAGTGGCCACCCTGGAGGACTCAAGACCAGATGAACAGAATCTAGATCTCAGTAGGGCCTGGGGCAGGGACCCAGACAGGCAAGGAATGGAATGAGCCCACTACAAGTCAAATAGACCGCTGGGTGGGTGGAATCTGGGCTCAGAGGCTGAGCTATGCCCAGGATCCCCAAGACTTGGGAACAAAACTGACCCGATCCCAACTTAGGGAAGACATGAGTGTGATGATTATAATAGCCAACAATTATTAAATGTTTGCATTATTCCAGCTACTGACAGGCATCCTCTTGCTGAATCCTCCTAACAGAGTCATTAGTTAGATCCTATTATCAGCCCTATTTTACAGATGGGAAACTGAGACTTAGAGATATTTCTTACACCAGTTAGAGGCGAGGCATGAGCCCAGTTGTACCCCAGCTAAGTCCAGGCTGGCTCACAGGTGTGCGATCTATGTAGCTGTTTGGGCTGAACTTAGAAGGGCTCCAGGCTTGGATTAATCCTCTGCTATGTTGCTCAGTACTTTCTGAACAAGATCCTGTGCTTTCATTTTGCACTGAAACTCAGTTCTGCAGCCAGTTCAGGTCTGAAACTTACCACATCTATAGTTACTAACTCATTTCACAGCTCTTCTGAAGAAAGGTGCTATGAGGGGCCAGCATGTGTGTGCTAGTTAAGGTGTTTGCATCCCACATGACTTGAATCCCAGAACCAGCAGCAGGAAAATCAGAGTGTGTGTGTGTATGTGTGTGTGTGTGTGTGTGTGTGTTTATGCCCAAAATCCTAAAAGGAGAAATGGAGGAGAAGTGATCACCGTATGACCCTCGCCCACAGGGGTGGGAGGATGCTTTCTCACTTTCCCTCTTTGTCTCTCTCCAGCAAGCATATACACCCTCTAGCAAATTAAAAAGAGACAAGGAAGGAAAGAAAGAAAGAGAGAGAACGATTTTTATGAATGTCTCTGTTTTGCAGAAGAGGAGACAGAGGCTAAGAGAGCTGAGGCCTCTGCCACGGACTCACAGTGACTTGCCAGACCCTGGCAATTATGAGTCCAAGGACTTACTCCTTTCACTGTGCTGCTTCCAAAGAATTTCAGCTCCTTGGAACACTGGTCTGCTCTCTGCTGGGCCAGGAAATTTCTCAGTGCCCACTTTTGCACTCCTTGTTGGGGTAGCGGGGGTCAAACCCCTCCAGGCATGGCAGAGCACCCGGCGCCCCTCTCTGGAACCAGCCAGGGTTGGGCCCTGTTCAGTTCCAGATCCCACTCACCTGAGAAGACCAGGATTGGCACCAGCAGCAGGGAGCAGGGTGGCAAGTGGACCAGGCGGGTGGAGATGGGCATGGTGAGGAGCACATGTGCCTCGCCGTTCTGCTCTCCGGTGGGTGTCGGAGCCTGACAAAGGGCCCATGCATGGGGCTGCTTCTGCTTCTCTTAGCCACAGGGACTTGGGGAAGTGTTTTCATTATAGCAAAACAAGGCTGCTGGTGCAAGAGGAAGGAGCCAGGTCAAAGGGCTTCCTGCTTGCGTGCCTGGTCTATGGTTCCTGTAATCACTGTGTCAAAATCTTGATGATTCCTTGCCACAGGCATGTCCTAGGCACCCTGGGGAGGGAGATGAGCACTTCAGTCACAGGGTGAATTCTGGAGTCAGCCGGACTTCAGATCAAGCATCGTGTCCGCCTCTTCCTCCTCAGAAAAGAGTTGCAAAGATTAAATGAGCTGATGTGCATGAGGGCTCAGAAGAATGCAAATGATAAGCATATTAGCCATCCTTATTCACCATACGTAGGACATAGAGGAGGGTGACACTTGCTTAAGGAGAAAGATTTATTCCAGAGCAAGGCCCTGGAGACCTCGTCTGGTACTGCAGGGAGGGCACAGACCTGATTCCTAAATTTATAATCATGGGCAACTCTCCCCACTTCCTGACATCCAAATGTAACACGCTCAGATTGTGCAAAAAAGTTGGTTATGTGGCATCTTCATTTTCTGTAACTGATCCAACCTTCATTTTATGCACCTGGGCTCAGGAATCCCCTCCTGCTGCCTAAGAGAAAGGAAAGGCTTCAACACGCCAGGCAAAGCAATCCAGGCTCTTCCCGTTTCCAGTAGCTGGCCACACTGCCTGGATTCAAATCTTGGCTTTACTCACAACTGACCATGTCATCTTAGGAAATCATTTGAAAACTTGGGGCTTCCGTTTGCAAACAGAAATAAAAATAAAAAATAAAAATAAAAATATGGTTACATGTATGATGCAGTGTAAGCATCGGATATGCTACTATCATTCTCTTTTAGATTAACTCAGTCTTTTTCAGAAAGAAATGAAATAAAATAAGAGCTCACGCTTCCCATGTTTCCCTTTCATTCTCTTACTCCAGATGGTCCTGAGTGCAGAGAAAGTAAAGCTTCTTCCTAGGGCAGGATGGTGGTCTTGGGTTTGAATATATCCCCTAGGTCCCTGGAATCTGGTGTCTGCTGTGAGGCAGTTGGTCTGCCCTGGTCTCTGAGCACTTTGCGCTGAGCACTTTGCGCTGGGTCTTCTGAAATATACTGGTTCTGTCTAGAACTCTGGGGCCTTGCACTGGTACCACTGCTAAAACTCATTGCTCCCTTTACTTTTCTTCCTGTTGAGGAGACCCTTATTTAGAGCCTTTTGAACTAGTCATAGGCTAGACAATTCTGGAAGATCCCCAGTCCGTCCATGTCATCCTCACAGGTGAACAGATTTGAATCACCTGCTCATCTGTGCAGATTTCTCTCTCAGTTATTTCTTTCCTTTCAAGTTTTACTTAAAAATAATTTTAGGTTTTCAAAAGGCAATGTGTTATATTGGTTAGCTATTGCTGCATGACAAACCACACTAAAATGTAGGGCCTTAACCACTTATTTAATTCATGATCGTTGAGTTGACAATTTAGTCTGGGCTCAGTGTAGTGGTTCTTTAAATTACCTTAGCTGATTTTGACTGGAATTGCTCATGCACTTCCGGTCATCTGCACATCTGCAGAGCAGTTAGGGGACTTTGTTGCTAAAGTTGTCTGATTGCGTACTTCGGTACCTCAACTCTCATCCTCCAGGTGGCTAGCCAAGATTGTTCTCATGGAAGTGGCAGTTCTGAGAGAGAGGAGAACTTGTAAGATCTAAGGTCACTCTTGCCACATTCTTTTGGCCAGAGCAAGTTACAAAATCAGACCAAATCCAAAGGATGGAAAATAGATCTCTCGACAGAAAGAACTGCAAAATCATATGGAGATGGATACGACGAGAGGGTAAAGAATTGTGGATGTGTTTTGTTTTGTTTTGTCTATGAGCCAGAGGGAGTGTGTGCTTGCCAGAGAGGGACAGAGTGACAGGGAGAGGGAGAAAACACATTCTGATGGGGTGTAGTCAAGCCACAATCACTTTTCCTCCATTTCTCAATCTGTCATGGTTTGGGGCATACACCTACACATGTGCACATGCACACACACCTACACACAATCACACACACACACACACACACACACACACACAATCTAGTATGTATTTAAGCCACTGGGACCAGGATTCAAACCAGCCAGGTGAGAACCAGCTCCCATAACTACTAAGATACAGGTCTGGCCTAAAAGAATTATGGATATTTTTGAAACATTTCTATCCTGGGTATCTGAAGAATACAAAATTCACGGGGTTCAATGTCTCCTTTGTAGCACTCCCAAACATACATTTTTAAGGCTTAATTATAGTCACCAGTTTCTAGAGATTTTCTTTCTCCACTTTTTCTGATCTAGTGCTCTGAAGCCAGGTTGGACATGGTTCTTCTCTGGTGGGAAGCCAGGCCACGGTCCCTTATGCTTTGGAAATCTCTGAACATAGCCCAGCATTCCGATTCCAGGAACACACAAATGCTGGGACTCTTGCATTTCCAAATCCTGTCTTCTCTTTCGTTTTCTTGTCACCTACACCAAGTCATAGGGGGAGGATTTCCCCTCTTTCCTTCTGGTAGGGACTTTCCTAACCCTCAGGCTTCTTCCTAACAGATGGCCTTCTCTGTTGTAACTGGAATCCTTCCTGCTCCCTTCTTGAAGCAACAAGTATCACATTCTGGCTTTGAAGTAGGAAGGAGCTGCCAGGGAAGGAATTAGACCGCTGTGAGGAGAGAAAATGCACAAAAAGTATTATAACATGTTCTGTCTGTCACATCATCTGTAACATGGATAAATTGTGATAATGCACGGGGCACTGGTTCACAGCCATTGCTCAGTGATTAGGAGCAATGATGTTCCTCCCGGTAACTGTGCTTGGCTGCCATGTGAACAGGGATGTCAGTTACTAGCTTGAGTTAAGTTGTGCTCAACTTGGTACTCAAGGTGTATCCAGAACACGAGTCAACATGTAAATCAGCTATTTTCTCTCTCCACGATAGAAACGTTAAAACCACAGCCTTTCCATTGTTTACCGTTGAAGAGATACACAGTAAGCACGCATAGAAAAAACGTTCACCCTTGTAAACAACCAAATACGCATATTCTTTGACTTAATGATGGGGTTATGTTCCGATAGACCTATGGTAAGTTGAAAATTATTGAACCCATCTAATCTGAACATCATAGACTAGCTTAGCCTGCCTTAAACGTGCTCAGAACACTTAGTTAGCCTATGGTTGGGCGAATCTAACACAAAGCCTATTTTATAATAAAGCGTTGAATATCTCAAAATTCCAGGTACGGTTTCTACTAACTGTGTATTGCTTTTGTACCATTGTAGAGTTGAAAACTCATAAGTTGAACCACTGTTAAGTCGAGGACCCTCTCTGGAAATGCCCATTAAAAAATAGCAACAGTGGCATCTTTTCAATCGAAATTTATCTTTACTTCTTTTTTTTGCCGTCTTCCTTATTGGAGGGGATCAAAGTTTGAGAACTATATTTTCCAGAACTTCCTGCAACAATATTCAGGATTATTCCTTACCCAGGAGAGATTTGGAAGATGAAAGAGAAGAGGCATTGTTACTTTTTTACTAATGGAGAGGGGGCAGGTATGTGGGCATCAGCAGATGGTACATATGAGGTTTTGCAGTGTCCCCCCTCTTAAGTCACCTCTAAATCACAGGCATTTGTGATCCTCGGTGGTAGTTTCTGTGAGTCTCTCAGATTCCTAGTTCTCTAGGAGCTAGCAGTGAACTTGAGAGATAAAGGAGAGAAGAATTGTGACGGTCTGTAGGCACTAACCCCGTGGATTCTCCTGAGAACAAAGCACAGATGCATGGCTTTTTCAGACCTAATTTCAATGTCATCTGGTAGCACTTCCGCATTCTCCTCATATAGGAGGAAACATTTGTTGCCTCATTAATCCTAAAGCCTCTAAATTCCCGGAATCTGACTTTCTGCGATTTGCAACCCGGCCTGTCTCTTGCTTGGTTTGGTTTTCTTGCTCCTTTTTTCCTATCAAATCCTATGACTTTTTTTGGGTAGGGTTGTGTTAAATTTTTATTGAGGTCTGACTAATGTACAGAGAAGTGCATAAATATTAAACAGAGCTCAGTGACATTTTAGATATGTTTACATCTGTTCGTACCTATATAGTCACCACCTCGAGATAAAGAAGGTTCCCTCTTGCTCCTTCCCATTCAATCTGTGGCCCCAGAAGCGACCATCACTCTCATTTCTACCACTATAGACTGATTTTTCTTGTTCTTGAAGTCATATACATGGAGTGACTGGTGTCTGGCTCATTATAAAGTTTTCAGGTATATGTGTAAGGGGAATTCTTTTTTCTTTTCCTGTTGTGATAAAAACACGTGACATTAAATTTACCATCTTAGCTAGTTTTTTTTTTTTTTTTTTCAGTTTTACTATAGGGTACATGTGTTCGCCTGGGAA